CCCCAAAACCCCAAAACCCCAAAACCCCAAAACCCCAAAACCCCTCATTTAAAGCCCATTATTGAAATAGTCTGGCTAATTAGGCTCAGGGAACACCGTCCCGTACACGGCGTCTCCTTTGAACGACTGCTTGCCTGCCGGAGGAATCCTCTTCGTCCAGCAAGAAGGCACGAACGTGTAGCTGCGAGGGTCCTTGTCTTGCATTGTTATCTGCTGGTCCTTTGTTGGACAGAAGCAGAATGGGAATCCCACAGGGAACGCTGTCGGATTTACAGTATGTTCGTGGGTGTGGCTAAAGATTATTTGTTGCTTACCTTGAAGTATTAGGGTCAATTTGTTCTTCGAAGTCATCCTTGACTTCTAGCTCGTCAATTTCATTTATTTCATCATCAACTTGAGCTTTGTGTGTAGGCTGTCTGGCTTGCTTCTCGACTGGTTGAGTATCCACAAAGTCTTGTGTGCTTGCCATTGTTTTGCCTAGAACTGTACTTCTCTTGGGATTGTGTCCATCTGCCTTGTACCCTCCATCTTTAGCTAAGCTCTGAATGCGAAGCAACTGCTCCTGGTCAATCACGGCTTCTTGAGGACACACTTCAACCTGTTGTTTGGCCCCTTGTGACTTCGCTTTGCCCATAATGTTAATTTTGGATGAAGCCTTGCCTTGGACTTTGTGAGTCTTGCTTTTTGGCTTCGAACTCATCGGTCTTCTATATTCTTGCTTGAAGTCTTTAGACCTCGAACTGTCTTCAGCAGATTTGTTCCGAGCAGCAGACTTTCTCCCACTGGTCCTTTGCGAAGTGACGAACTCAGAAGTGGCAGGAGTGTCGTGCTTGCTTGCGAATCACACTTCCTTCATCAGGTCAAGCTTCTTGACTTCTCTGTTGTAGTCTCTCATCGGCTTGTCAGGCATGATGGGGTTCCTGCTTTTGAGTTCTTCAAGTTCTTCTTTGGTCAGCTTTGGAGGCTCGACTTCTTGCCTCGTCGGATCCAAAGTGGGCTTTCCGTTGACGAAGGCTTTGTTGTGAGCCGAAGTGTACACTTGCTGGTACTTGGGCCGGTTGTCTCCACTGTGAGGGTGGACGTTATGAGAAAGCAAGTAGTCTCCGTAGACTATTCCTCCGACAGTGGGGTCTGTGTTTCCTTTACCGTAAGGATGGAATATTGGTTTACCGTGAAGAGACCTCAAATGAGTGTCAGGTTTCCAGCGAGACACACTGATCTGTTCTTCAAGCTTCTTGAGTTCATCTCGCTCTATCTTGGTGAGTTGTGACTTGTCTACAGGGTCGACCCCGTACTTGGCTTTGTTTCTTAGGAAAATCCATTTCTTGAAGTCTTTATTTGCGCTTCAATGGAGTTTTTTGACGAGTAGCGATTTTATCATCAGGACTCTGGTCTTTGGACTTGCCTCTGTTGTTGGCTGACTTGGAGCCTTTGGCCTTATTCGGACTGATTTCTTGAGCTTCAAGTTCTGGTTCTAGCTGAGGCTGATTGCAATCGTAATTATCATGGCCATCTTCATCTGGGATGGGTTCTCCGAAGTCTCTTTTGTATGAGGTTTTATAATGATGATCCTTAGAGGAGCCAAAGTTGTGAGGGTTTAGCATCTGGTTTCCTATATAATATACATTCTCTGCAGGATCATCAGTAAATTTTCTGAAGTTATCTCTAGTCTCAGTCATCCATTTTCCTTTAGTCTGTTCTTTCCTGAGTAACTTCTCTGCTATCTCCCTGACCTGTTCCTCAGTCAGGTTCTTATCATCAAGGTTGCAGAGGTACTCAGGCTTGACTGGCTGCTGACTTTCTGTATATCCGCCAGAGAGCATTTCTCCCATAGAAGGTTCCAGATTTCTTGCCTTATTCGTTTTACCATACCTGCGGTCCTTCAACTCATGCATTGTATCTAACAACCCATAATCAACAATATCTGCACGCCTATTATTCTCTTTCGCATAAACATCAAAAACCGCTTTCTGTCCGAGTCCAAATTTCTCAACAGCAGTGATATTCATATTTTCTTGAAATAAATTTATTTAAATTTCAAATATTTTAACAGTGAAAGGGGTTTTGGGGTTTTGGGGTTTTGGGGTTTTGGGG